CAAGTTTACTGTGAATACCCTTCATGAAATTTTCGAGGGTGGATATTCCATGGAATTTTTATGTGCAGTTTGAACTGACCAGAATGTGAATGTGATCATGAATGATTCTTTTTGACAAATATAGGATATTAAATTTAGATGGTTTGCACTTACAAGTATATAATATAGATTCTATGCCATTATATACATTCATATGATGTTCCTTATTGGTTCTATTTATATACTGTTTTATTTCATCTGTTCAAAATCCTGCACAGAATGAATTGTACAGTTTCAAAATAAATGCCTTAATATTATCACAAGACTTCAGTAGAGATGAATTAAAGTATATATATTGAGTTACAAGTAAACTACTTTGATTTTTGTGCAATCACATTTCACAGTCATCAAGTAGATGGACATCAATCAGCCATCTGTGTATGCTGATAAATTAAGAAAACAATGTTTCATTGATGTAATATACTTCTCTAACAGTGAGGTCAGATATGTCCATCTTCATGTAGACAGAAAATATGTGCCCGTTGTGTGTCATGTTAGACAAAGTCAGTTATTATACTGGGTCGGCTTTATCTTATGCCTCCCAGCGTTAGTACATTTTCCATCTTCCAGAAGACAGAACAGTTTTAATTAATGAGTCCACAGAGTTGGTACACTTTCCATTTTCCAGAGGACGGAACAGCATTATCCAGCGGATTACCAGAGTAGGTTCTCTTCTCTTCTACCATAAAGTGGCTGAGTTTGTCTAGTGGGAGAAGAGTTGGTATTATTTCCTTCTCCCTTAAGATAGCCCAGCTTCATCCACTGAACTCACAGAATTGCTGCCATTCCCTTGTACCTGAAAATGGAATGGGGATAAAGCGGCTGGGGCGTGAAGCAGACCACTCACCTCCAACTAGTGCCAAGGTCAAGAAAACGTGGGTCTGTATATCCACTCCATATGTCTTCATGGTGTAGTGCTTAGTTAAGCGCAATGAGAACTTTACCTTTTACCTTTTACACATTTAAATGGATGAGTCATTTTTAGACAGTAAATATTCAACGGAGTAGAATGAGGGTGTGTTTAAGTATTGTTCTAGTGCTATTTGAAATCACCCTTTTTCATTCATAAGACACTACCCAAATAGCACTCACCATGGCAGCTCCAACTCCCATTGGTTAGCGCCCCGCCCAGCGGCAAAAGTATAAAGATGTGGGCCTCAAATATGCTAGAATCAGTCACAGCTACGCTTACATTGAGAGAACACCACAACTGCAAGTCTACTAGCAGCAAGCACTGGCAGCTGACTCCACCAGTGCTCATCAGGCCAGCTGGCTTTGCTGCCACTAGCACCAGCTAGCCCCCTACTGCAAGAGCTTTGCCCGGTATCCTGCTGGCTCGCAATCACCGGGCTGCTGCAAGCAAGAACACCATCACTAGCTCAGGCTAGCCCGCTACTTCAAGAGTTTCACTGCTATTCATCAGGCATGCTCTGCTTCCCAGATCATCTGTAATATTCATTCTAGCAGCAATATATATAGGTTTCGTGGTTGTCTCCCCATACCACAAGATTTGACATCCTGCAATGAATATAGTGCTTGTATCTTGTGTTAACACTGTACAACTGCATTGGTCTGAAAATGTTTTTTGTTACTTGTAATGAAGTTTATTAATGAATATATATATACACACACATGTGGCAGAGTTAACTACTCTCTTAAGTAGATTTCTACAAGAATTACGGGATTTGACACCCATTGTGAGTCTAACAATTTTCTTTTGCAATGTAAATACCTTTTTGCTGTCAGATTAATTACCCCAGAAAATTATTCAGTACTTCGTTAAATAGTGAAAGTAAGCAAAATAAACTGAAAGAAATTGTGTCACTGATATGCAACATATGTCTAGGAATATGGTGCTCTTAGCTTTGGAACAAATTTATTTATATGGTTTTTCCAGTTTAAATGATTGTCAATTTGTAAACCAAGGGATTTTGTGTTTGCTGCATTTCTATATGTTTACCATTATATGTGATATTTCATGGCTAATGCGTTATGTTATAAATTTCGTTACAGTTGTTTTATCTAGATTCAGGAACAACTTGTTTGCAGAAAAACATGTACTCATTTGAGAGAGAACTTTGATTGTATGCAGAAATCATCTAAATGTTTGCTAGAAATTTTAACACTAATGTCATCAGCCAATATTATGGGTAGGAGGGAGGTAATTTATATAGATAGGAAAAGCAAAGGCCATAAAATTGACCCCTGGGAACTCCATGCTGTATTGTTTCCCAGTTTAAGAAGGTATTTTGAGTTACATATGATTATTTTATATCAGTCTTCTGTTTGCTTTCTGTTAGGTAGGATCTGAACTAACTTGCTGATGCCCCTTAAATGCCAAAAAAAGAATGTTAACAAAATTTCGTGTTTTACACCTTATACTTTCTTAATACAAGACTAAAATTCCATTAAGTGTAACAGCTTCTAATACGTAAAATCTTTTTTTGTTGTACATATTTCATACATAAATGCCAAGCTTCAAGAGGTGAACCAGTAGTGTTAAAGAAAATACTTTATGTAAGTCTTTCTTACAGTACTAGTTATCCCACATACTTATTGAAGGAACTGATGTAATTAGTTCTAGTGGTGAGGGATACCATTCAAACTGAGTAGTTAACAGTAATTAAAATGTGTTTTGTAGTTCAAAGTAAGATGCTATGACAGCATTCATAGTAGTAATTGCAGTTGTTAATGACATGGAATTGTTAAGTTCTGTGGTTATAGGTTGTTTCTCATCAGCATAATCCTGGGTTTTGCTGTTCAGTTCTTGGTAATATTAAGAATGAAATTCTGGATTGAATATGTTACCCCTTAAGTAAGTCTTGATAATTGGTATTGTAATAAATATTTACTTCTGTTGACACTGCTGGTTCACCTCTTGAAAATGGCCACTTTCAGGTGAAACATACAAGGCAGCAAAAGATTTTATCTATTTGTTAAATACAGTTGCACTTCATGGAATTTTAGTCTTTGTCTATAGGGTAGTAGTTTTTATCAGCTTGCAAAACTTGGTGGTAGATGTGTTTAGCATAAAGGATGTTATTGTCTAAGCAAACACACTATAAAAATGTATTGGTTTGTGCAACGTCTGATACTGGAACAATTACATGTTGGAAGTCAGTTACAAAAAGAATATATATATATTTTTCAATGTGTGTGTATGTGTGTGTATGTGTGGAGAAATAAATCTGTTGATTCACATTTTGTCATGCCTTCAAATAATGGGTACGTTGTAAGTTTGTTGAATAGTCTTCAAAGTAAAAAAGTAAATGTATCCCTGTAACAGGCCTTGGAGGCCCATAGGGTTGTGAGATGTTGAGGATCCCATATTTTCTAGACAATCAACTCATAGATGGCGGTAAGGTTGTCAGCCCTACATGCCAGCCGCCCTTAACCCCCAAGAATATTCCTGGTACTCATTTCTGTTAGAGGCTGAATTTATTAGGTAAATTGAAAAAATTCAATGACCTCATTGGGATTCGATCCTGCGACCTTCCGGCTTGTAGCATAGTGCCTCAACCAGCTATACTACCGCGTGCCCCCTCCCCACAAGAATAGTCTTCAAAGGGAAATGTTATTTGTGGCTACATACAGCTTTGTAATAAAATTTTTCAGGAATAACGTATTATGAATTTTAATTTAAGAAATGTCTGGTGCCCTTGTTTATGTGCAATGTTATGCAGTTTCATTTGGGACTACTGACGCTAAAATTTGAAGAAATTTAATCGAAATTATTAGAGCCAATTTTTAGAGATTATTTTGTGATGAAGTCATAGCTGGGGTGTGTTGTTCGAATCCCGTTACTTTCAGAATGTGTTCACCTACAAAATATTATTTGGATCTTTTATAGACGGTTAAAAAACAAACCAAAATTGGCCAGGCTGTTTTCGAGAAAAATTGACATTTCGAGTTTGAGGTGCAGGAGGCCTGCAGTTGAAAGAATCGGTAGTCGTTTTCGACAGATAGTAATTTTGTGTTTTTGGGACCCCGTGAAGGCCCATGTTTTTGTAGTCAGGGTGTTCATACCCCTAGAACCCATCCAATCGTTCAGGCACGAGTGAGGCTTACATACAGACAGACGGTATTAAAAACATCAGTTCTCTCTCATTGATAGGCGGAATGTTCCTGCGAAACGTCGGTTGAATTTCAACAGACTAGAAGGCAATGTGCATGTTAGGTGAGTCCCCGTCACCATGGCATGGCGCGTCCTCAGGTTGCGGATGGAGGAGACACCCTCCAGTTTTGGAGGGAAGCTGTGAATATATTGAATAAGCAGTCGCGGACAGCCAACAAGGGGTGGCCCTCCAGCTTGGGGTTTAGGCGTGGGGCTAACATTTCCTCACCATAAAAAATCATTATGTTACGAAAATGAACACAGAGCCTCGGCCCTGGATTGGTAAGCCAGAAGGAAAGATACCACAGGGAAGACTAAGGCGTAGGTGGGTGGACAATATTAGAATGAATCTTAGAGAGATAGGATGGGATGGTATGGATTGGATAGATCTGGCTCGGGATAGGGACCAGTGGAGGGCTCTTGTGAACACTGTGATGAACCTTCAGGTTCCATAAAATGCTGGGAAATTCTTGAGTAGCTGCAGAATTGGCGGCTTCTCCAGAAGGGTTCAACTCCATGAGTAAGTAAGTAAGAAGGCGATGTATTCCAGAAGATAGGATATATATAGAACCTCTGATACCCATTTCATAGGACGCTGGGTGGGCTCCAGAACCAGTCTGGACGCTGTGGAGAATAGAAAGATCTTTTGTGCCAGCAATATTAATTAAACCATTTGCATCCTGAAGTATCAGAGTTTCTGCGCCCAGGTTCCCAGAAATGTTGCGATGTTTGTAGATTTGTTATAAGCACCATTTGTTACAGAAATTAAATCATCACTGTAGGATACTAGAAGTGCTAGGAACAGCTAAGCGTCTACTTTCCTTCCATCACAATTTGTATACCTGATGAGACAAAGACTTTTGTATGTATGCAGAATGAAGGCAATAAAACAATGTTATAAGGACTACATTTTACAGGACATCTCATGTATATATAATAATAAAAATTAAAGTTGTAAAGATGTCTCCAGAGCAAGTATATCTATATTAATATGTCAACAATTAAAAAAAAATATCTTGCGCGCTAGCTTATCCGCATTCATTTCACGGCCACCTGCATGACCACGCGGCATTCTGTGTAAATTAGATTACGCAATTTCCATTGTAGTAGGTATTACAGTGGGCACTGTTAAATTAATATTTAATTAAATGATTCGCAATTGTGAAAAAAAAAAGTTTTATTGACTAGGAAATGTAACTTTATGTTTACCTGATTTGATGGCTTAATTTATAGTAATATGCAGAGCGGCCCAGAAGGCAGTTAACCTAAAATACTCGTATTCCGTCGTATTAACAGTAATGTTCAGATTTGAACCTGCCTGTCTATTTGTAGAAAGGGATCGGAGAGTTGTGACTTGTGAACCGAACACGGAGGATTTCAGTTGGAACAATTGCTGGATATTCAGTAAGTAATAAAGAAATTTCTATCGTATTTTAGTGTACACTTTAATAACAAGTAAACTGACTTTTGGGCAATTCTGTGTATAAAAGAGGTCCGTTAAATGAATATATGAGTGTTATACCCATGAAACGAGTGCTTAGATCAAGAGTATGGTTTCCATATCAGAATCTGAGCTGCCGTTATCTTTGCATTCCCGAATTGAGTGAGATATTTGTGAAGTAAGCTGTTAAATTTCTTCACGCGGCTTGGTTTTTATACTAAGTTTCGTTACGAATTATGCAGTTGAGACGACTTCCGGTAGCATGATACGCATACCGAGTTTCATGAAATAAACCACGAAAGTCTAAGGAGAATTAATTTTGCCATTATGTATGATTAATATGAGTATATAAATGTTAATTCTGTTTGGAAAATGTTCTTTCATTACAAATCTTTCATTTCTTATACTGTAACATAAAGGCTGAAGGCCGGAATGGTGGAGACAGAAGAGAGACTTTGCTAGGCAACAGCGCCCTAAATATGTCTCCGTAACAACGAATGCACACGCAGTAATAGAACTGTCAGAGGCATGGTTTTCTATGTTGTAAGTGCCGTCTCCACGTAGAATCTGCTACCTAGCAATGACTAATGAAAAATTAACATACTGAGAAGATATTGTGTATGTTCTCGTGATTTGTGGAGTGTGTAGATTAGTGGGAGTGTAATAAATATTTTTAGCTATGAGCCAGTAACGTTCAATAAATCAGTGAAAAAATTATAATTATTATCAGCTATTTAGTCCCTGTACTATGGAACAAGCAACAAGTTCCACAGTGAATTCAAGCAGTGACACTTTTGATACTGCTTTAAATGTGAACCAGTTTAGCAATGAAAATTATGTAGAAAATAACAGTATCACTTCAAAGACTAAGTTTCAGACTAGGGAGAAAATATTTAATTCAGGTTTCTGTTTTGAAGGAGATACAGTTGCTTATGGTGAAAAAGGTATGCTGCTGCTCAATGAAAAGGTGGATTCGAAATTTTTTGATGGCATTGTGGCAGAACCTGTAAGAGTCAGGCACAGTGAAAATAAAAGTCTTGTTCAGTTCTGGTCAGAGAAGAATTATCTACTGGAAGATGCTTCCAGCTGCAGCACCCCAGAGAAGAGACTGGTAGCACATGATTGTTTGCCACAGAAGCTGTCTAGTAAATACACCCAGACCGAACATGGTCTTGCATTCGCAGGTGACTGCAAGAATTTCCTGGTGTCTAGATCAAATCGAGATGTAAAAGATTATCTTCAGCAAGCCAATAAAACAAAGTCTGGCAATAGAAATACCCCGAGAACAAGGCAGTTAAATTTAAAGCGGAAGAATTCAGAAATTGCGGGTCCTGCTCCTAAGAGGGCTAGAATTATGAAACCTAATTCAGGTTCATTAAAATATTCTGAAATTATTGTTGAAGGGCGTGGAAGTATCACCAGTTATGTGTGCTCAGATATGTTAAAAGTGAATGACAATTTTTGTCTGGAGACTGAAGAATCTACTTGTGTCAGGCCAGGACAGCCATTTACAAATATTTCTGGAGTGGGTTTTAAATCTTGCTTTGCATCTCTGATGAGTTCCTCTGTCTGTGATAAAAGTTCAAGCATGTCATTCAGTACTGCTGGATACAGTGTAACTCATAGCTCAGATCTCTCATCACAAAGCAAAAGAGATCCACTAACTACCTCAATGCTGCCTGGTAAACATCCCAATAGGTCCCTTAATGAACTTGATGGAACATGGACAGATGTTACCCAGTCCTCAGAGCCACTGTTGTGTGAAAGTCTGGGATCCATATTGAGACTCTCCACAGAAATGATGGATTGTGAGTTATATGTCAAAAAGGAAAACAGTGCAGTGAAACATTCTTCAGTACCACAAACTGAAAAGGATAACAAGGGTGCTGATAAAGAACTATTTCCAGGTGATATAAATGACACATTTGCCAACCTGCATGCTGAGGTAGATATAGCACGAGAGATTGATTATGTAGTAAATAATTTAATGAAGGACAGTGCTGCCAAAACTCTTTCTTTATCATGTATTGAAGAAGTTAGTAAGAATACTGATAAAGAACTGTTGCCAGGTGATATCAAGGATATCTCTGTTGGCCTGGATACTATGGTAGATGTGCTGCAAGAGATTGATGATTTCTTAAATGATTTAATGGAAGACCATTCTCTGAAGCCTCTTTCAGTATCACAAACTGAACAGGATGACAAGGATAGTGATAAAGAAAAATTGCAAGGAGATATCAAGGACAACTTTTTGATCCTGGAGCCTGAGGTGGATATACTGCGAGAGATAGATGACTTCCTAAATGATTTTCGCTAATAAATAAAATTGTTATATAAGATAAAACAAATCAAAATTTATCATGAGATAAATAATTCATTTAAACAGCTGAAAGTGCTCATCAAATGCATATGCTCTACAAAATGTAGTGTTTTCATGTTTATATTAGGTCAGACATAATACAAGAAATGTCATTAAATCCTTATGTAACACTTTATTGACTCAGTTGACTCAACTGTTGGCACTTAACCCCATGTGGAAGAATGATTAAGAAAATGGCTTCTGCTTGCTTGTAATATGGAAAATATGAGTCATCACTATGTAATATGTTAGTTAATGCAGAAAAGGATTTAAAGTACATATATTGGAACAGGACATGGAAGCAGCTACTTTAGAAGCAGAAACATTAGTAGGATGATAATATTCTGGACAGGAAAGAAGGCAATTTATATAAATTCTCTGTGAATTGTATAGGAAACAGAGAATCCAATTATTGTTAAAATTTTTTGTATAATTTTTTTGGGGGGTGAGGGGAGGTCATGATCATCACTCGAGTCCTCCTTGAGAAGCCCACTTAGTCATGAAATTGCCCACTTTTAAGGCCTTTGAAGGTTCAGTATTGTGTTCACAAGAGCTCACCACTGGGTCCTTTTCTTAGCCTGAAGAATTGGTCAGCACAATTAAGCTGCCCAACGGACAGTATACTCAAACAGGAAGGGAGACGCTGAATGAATTATTCAGAGTTCACTTTCCTGGTTCCAAATTGATTGACAATTTGGACGATGGACAGGGTCAGCAGAACCTGGACACTTGCCAAAGCAAGATGAACAGGGTAGACTTGAACCTGGCCAAAGTCATAATTAATCAATCAAAAATAAGATGGGCACTGAACACTTTTAGACCATTTAAATCAGCGGGAACGGATGGAATTGTACCGGCACTTTTGCAACATGGGGCAGAACTTTTAGTTCCACACCTATGCCACATATATAGAGCCTGCTTGGCATATGGTTTCATCCCCACAGCCTGGAGGCAAGTTAAGGTGACGTTTATTCCAAAGCCTGGGAAACTTGATTATACCGAGGCTAAGGCTTATCATCCTATCAGCCTGTCGTCTTTCCTTTAGAAATGATGGAGAAACTAGTGGATAGGCATATCAGGGACGGGGTATTGAGGACATATTCTCTACACCGAAACCAACATGCCTACCAAACAGGTAAATCTACCGAAAGTGCACTACACAATGTAGTAACATGCATAGAAAGTGCAGTTGAACACAAGGATACTGCCTTAGGAGCATTCCTTGATATAGAGGGAGCTTTTGATAGAACCTCATTTGATGTAATCAAACAGGCTGCTGGAAGGCATGGCATAGAGCCTGCACTATGCAGATGGATCAATGCTATGCTGGAAAGCAGAACCATAGCTGCTACATTATCGGGAGAGACCCTGGGGGCGTCCGTGGCTAGGGGATGTCCGCAGGGGGGCGCACTCTCGCCTCTGCTGTGGAGTCTGGTCGTCGACGATCTCCTGTGAGGACTTGATGATGGGTATTATACAGTAGAATATGCTGATGACAGCAATCCTCATAAATGGAAAATTCCTTTCGACCGTATCAGAGCGTCTTCAAACAGGTCTGTACATTGTCCAGCGATGGTGTGAAAGAACAGGTCTTTCCATCAATCCCAATAAGACGGTAATTGTACCGTTTACTAGGAAGAGAAATATAAAGGGTCTTAAGGAACCGACTCTCTTCAATAAGACAATCCAGTTCTCCAGCATGTCAGGTACTTTGGTCTAGAATTAGGCAAGGGACTGACATGGAAAAAGCAGCTGGATAAAGTCATTAACAAAGCCTATAAGGCTTTTTGGACATGCAGAAGCATGTTTGGTAAAACTTTGGGACTGCAGCCACACGTTATACATTGGATATACACTGCTTTTGTGAGACCCATAATTACTTATGGTGCCACAGTATGATGGCCCAGAGTTAAATTCAAGACAAGCAAGACAGAACTTAGCAAATTGCAAAGGTTGGCTTGCTTAGGTATCACAGGAGCATTTCGAACATCTCCAACAGCTGCACTGTATGTACAGTTGGATGCAGAGGCCAGGGCAGGAATTTACCGTCTCCAGTGCAGGTGACAATGGAAACCTAGATCTGATGGTTTCGGTCATGCAGACATGACTCAGGACATGAAAAAAGAACCCATATTACAAATGGGGTCTGATAAAATGATACTGAGACATGTATATGAAAAACCCTTCACAGTCAGATTTCCTGACAGGAGTGAACGGGAAGACGGGTTTCAGCCCGACAGAAAAGGGGGACTGATCTGGCATACAGATGGTTCCAAGACAAATAAGGGCACTGGAGCCGGTGTGTACTGCTATGGCACGAGGCGGAAACTTAGTTTCAGCCTTGAGCAGTACACGACAGTATTCCAGGCAGAAGTATATGCCATTAAAGCTTGTATTATGGAGAATTTAGATAGGAACTATAGAAAAAGGAACATCTACATTTTATCTGACAGCCAAGCTGCACTTAAAGCACTTGACAAACACCAGATCAACTCAAAATTGGGATTGCCACCAAACCCTCATGGAACAGGCCAAACATAACAGGGTACATCTGATATGGGTGCCGGGGCATGAGGGTATTGCTGGAAGCGAAACTGAGACCAACTGGCCAAGACCGGAGCTGAACATCCGTTCATAGGACCTGAACCAGCCTGTGGCATCTCTCTAGGAGTTGCCAAGCAGGCAATCAGGGACTGGACTAACATAAAACATAAGAAATACTGGGAATCCTTAACTTGACTCAGGCAAGCAAAGAGACTCATACGAGGACCTTCTGCTAAAAGAGCGAAGGAACTGTTGAAGTTCAACAGGAACCAGATACGATGGGTGGTAGGACTACTTACAGGTCACTGCCACCTTAAAGGACACCTGTTCAAACTGGGACTAAGTGACAGTCCCACTTGTGAGAGGTGTCAGATAGAAAATGAAACAGCCACACATGTCCTGTGTGAATGTGAGGCTTTAGCTTATTTAAGACTACGTCATTTGGGTCAGTACTTTATGGAACCAAGTGTCTATTTTGATGCCCCCACGTCCAAAATCCTGCGCTTCATCTGAAGTGTGGGGTTGCTGAGAGAAAAATTAAAAAAGGGGAACCACAATGGACCACTGAGGTCTAGGTGCAAGGGCCGAGAAGGCCTACCCCTCGTACATTCATTCATTCATAGCCTGAAGAGTTTGATCCACATATTCACATAACATTATTTAAGATTCATTCTTTAGTCTGCATATTTTGAAAAAAATGCATGTAGGCTTATGCAAACACCATGCTTTCTGTATGTCTTGCTCCCCCCCCCATCATCTATTGAATGGCTGAAGCAATGTTTGTGAAAACTGGTAGGTATATCACAGCCCCTGAACCAACCAAAACAGTGTACTTCTTAAATCTGTTATCAGTCTGTGTGTGTGTGTGTTCTGAACAGCGGAACCTCTATGAATGGTATAGCAAACAGAGGATCCAATTAATATTGATTTTTTTCTATAATATTTGGGAAATGTGGGGCGAGGGGTTTTCTTATCATTACTGGAGCCCTCGTTGAAAAGCCCACTTAGTCAAGAAATTGTCCACTTTTAAGAAAGTCAAGGTTCATTATCATGTCCACAAGAGCTCACCATGGGGTTCTATTCTGAGCCAGAAGAGACCAATTCACTCTTTCACATAACATTACTTAAGATTCATTGTATTAGGCTACATATTTTGAAAGACAGGAAGTAGGCTGATGTGAAAGCCATGCTGTCTGTGCGTCTGTCTTCGTCCCCCTCACCATCTATTGAATGACTGAACTAATGTTTATGGAAATTGGTATGCATGAGCCCTGAGCCTAACGTAATGGTGTACTTCTTAAATCCCTGTCATCAGTCTGTGTCAATATGTGTATAACCCTGTCGTTCCTAGGTAACGGCTAGGTAAAAATTTCACTACAGTTCCTATTCAGCAGCCAGGTAAAAACATTACTGCTGCAGCAAATACACACCCAACAATAGAAGAATTATTGTCAATTCGTTTTTTTATGTGGTCTATGTCATATTAAGGGAAGTAGGCGATAATTTCTTCCCAGATCTTCTCATTTTAATGTTATTCTCTCACCTTCACCCTTCTGGTTTCCCAATTGATCTTGTTCTCTTTAGGGGTCCTGATTAAAATCACATATGCATTTCTGATCTCTCCTATGGGTCTGTATGTCCTCCACCAGATCCTCAAAATGATTCAGTTCAATTCTTCAGTTATTTATATACACACTCAGAAGGGCAAAAGGCAATTATGAAGTAAGTAGGAGTTAAGTGACAAGGAACACAAAATACAAAACGAACAAACAGGTATAAAAATAATAGTAACAGTGACAAAAAGTAAGTTTACATACTACAAAGGGCATTACGCAATTTCTGTTATTTTTCCCGCCTCCTAGGCTTAAGTGCTCTGAGCAACACGGTTTCATGTAACATCAGTGAATGCTCGATTGATGTTTGGTGGCGACAGTTATTGTGTTCTGGGATGTGCCGCCGTGCATTTAGGTACAAAAGTACTAGCGTTTCAGAGGAACATGATGCCTCCAGCTGCACCATAAAGGACGTATTCATTCCTGAATATGCTTTGTTATCGTCATCTGCAAATTTATTGAAAATATACTTAAGCATTTGCAGCGTAATTACGCAGCTTTCGAAAGTTGGAACGCTAAATTTTATGTTTTCTGATATCAGCATGACGTTACGTGTCGCTTAGCTCCATAGATGCTTTTTTTCCAAACAGTTTTTTTTTTTGCGGAAAGATGTTTGCATGGCTATAGTGAAAATGCCCTTTATTACATGAAGGAAAAGAAAGATTACTGTTCTACAAGGAGATTGGTGCAAATGTATTACACATACTTTCTCGTATATGACTTTAGATATGGCGTTTTTTTGGTTTGAGTCCCGGGAGAGCGTATTGGTTTTGTCTGGAAAATACGACCACTACAGTTTTATTTGGGACTGCTAGCGCTGAAATGTGGAGAAATTTGAAAGAAATCGTTAGAGCCAATTTTTAGATAAATCATTTGTGATTAAGTCGCAGCTTGGGTCCATTATTTGAATCCGTTATTTTCAGAATGTGTTGACTTACCATATACGAGTACATATTATTTGGGCCTATTGCCTCTACAGACGGTAAAAAACTAATAATCTATCAAGCCGATTTCGAGAAAATTGAAATTTCGCTTTTGAGGCTTGGGAGATATGCAGTTGTTTTCCTGAAGATACTAAGAAAGATTCGGTAGTCGTCTTTGAGAAAATAGGAATTTTGTGATTGTGGGGCCCAGTGAAGTTCTCTCTTTTTGTAGCCAGGATATTATTACGAAGAGAATCCGTCCAATCCTTCAGGCTATTACGAGTATATTGTATATACCGATATGCGGATTCATTATTGTAGGACAGGTTATTTCAAGAAAATCCCGGAAAAAGAAGGAATGCTTTAGCTAGTCATATATCAATATATATTTCATGATATTACCAATACAGTTTCATTCAATTATTTCAGGGGATACTGGGAGTGTTTTAAATTAAATGTAATGGAATTGTGCGATAATAGGTACATACTAATGAGTTTAAGTGGACGGAAAATGTGAAGATAGGTAGCAGGTGGCATTCTCTTTGCATCGGCTACTTTCGATGGTAATGAAGTCTTGAGGTTTGAAACATCCGTTTTCATAAACAACATATTAAACTCATAAAAGTAAAGGCATTGTTGAATATGTTTTTGATATTTGAGTCATAGATAGGGGGCAAGTTCCTATGAAAGTACAAGTTCAGTTTTTCGGCAGCTATCAATGTCTCTTTAATAGGTAGATACGGTATGGTATGTGCGCACATGGAAATATTTGTCAGTAACGGAGCATGTATTTATAACTGACCTGACGTACCTTATCACGGAAATTCACTTTGGAATTTAGGATCCTTGTGTATGATATTTTACCGAAACATCTGTGTATGTCTTCGACGAGGGAATTTTATAGTTAACGTTTGGAAAGATTTATTTCCTTAGTATCGACAAAATAATAATACTTCTAAGGCAAAATAAGATCATGTGCTTATGTATTATGCTGTCTAATATTTGCACTACGCATATGCATGGTTCTTGAACACACAAATTCACATCTAAATGCAAACCTAATTTGATCCACACTGTACACACAATTTGCTTAGTATGCTGTGATGTAATACCAACTGAGCTTCCGAGATTGACACTATTTACATGAAAGAACCAACAGGTGGCAGGAGAATATAAATTTATATTTTTCTTGCATGTGCCACAATGATTTCGTAACTGAATGAAGAAACTTTTTGTTCAATGTTATTGTTTGTTTCCACGAATTTCTGTTTTTCTGCTTCCATTAGACAGTCGGCGAGATATTCTTCATGTAGTTCTGTTGGTATCCGTTCAAGAAATGGGTTGACTGCTTTCATGGACTCTGGCAAACGAAAACAATGAAACAAATTAATTACGAAGTGTACCACTAGATGGCTATATGTATATATATGAACTACCAACATCTGCACGAGGCGAAGGGGGTGTAACTCAGTGGTAGAGTGTCTGCTTCGCATGCAGAAAGTCCTGGGTTCAAATCCCAGCTCCTCCAATTTTTTACCTTTTTTTTTTTAATTCAAACGTTTTTCCCCATACAATGTTTACTTAATTATTTCAAACAAACTGTTCCATAAACACAAATACGAAAACATTTCAATAGTTATTCTTCGTAATATTATACAGCAATACCTCGCATAGTCCGGGTAATCGGTTCCGCCATATCCCGGACTGTTTGAAAGCGGACTAATCGAGGAACTAAATACATACAAAATTATAATTGGTTACAGAAAAATCTCAGTTTTTGAATAAATAAAACGCGATTAATAAATTCAAATGTCTTCATTAGAAATAATTAAAAATCATGTTTTTTGCAATTCATTTTTTATTCTATAAAAATTGCAATATTGGTGTCGGCACATTTTTCTTCTTTGGCCTTTTCTCTTCATACATTTCTTTGTAGCAACGAATTGCACTGTTTATCGTTCAGCGAATTGTAAGGCTACGTTCAGTATTGGGATCAACTTCCGTAATGTGCTCTGACAGGGTTTCAACCATTCCAATAATTTTTGATAGTTGTTCAGCTGTTAATTCTCATGCAGGCACTTCAACACAGTCGTCGTTGTCTAAGTTGTCCTCCCGTTCTTCATAAGCCCGTTGTTCATGTATATTAATAAGTGTTTCATTATCTAGTTCATTAGTGTTGGGTTTGATGCACTCAATTATTCTGATGGAATCCAACTCATTGAAACCAAGTTGCTGTCCACTTTCCACTATGTTATTAGTGACTTCAGCAAAATGAGTTTCAAAACCAATGAAATCATTTGCACAATGTGGTATGATATGTTTCCATACTGCCCTCATATTGCTTGCCGTTAATTCATGCCATGCTTTGCCTATATTTTCAATAAAGTTTCTGATGTTGTAGCTCTTCCAAAATTCCGTTAAAATAATGCTCTCCCCACCTCCTCAGCAAAAGCTGTCAGAGCTCAAGAACAAACGACCTGAGCATAGGTACATACATAGACAACAGGGAACCCCAGAAAAAATTGAAATATGTATCGTATCGCATAACTTTAAAACCACATAAAAATAAACTGCGCAAAAAGATACTTGACTGTATAAAGGGAAAAAAACCGATCATATATGTATTAAAAATAATTTTGTGTACTAATATTTTAGAGTTTATTTTTATTTTGCTCAATTAAAATTTAGTTTGTTTTGCAATTTTCAAACCGGACTGTAGTGAATCTGGACTGTTCGAAGCTGGACTATGCGAGGTATTGCTGTATTGTAGCGTCCTGTTGCACATCACTTATTGTTCAGGTTACTGATTCAACTGTCTTATGTGTAACACGTCTTTCCAAGACTTCCTTTAAAGAAGTCTCAAAAAGACATGTTGCATGTTAAGACAATTGAATCAGTGACTTCAATAGCTATATTTTCTTAATTTAACTTATTTCCAGTTTGATTGGGCATATAATGCTCATACCCATCAACCACACAATTTTTTCTTTAATAAAAGTAAGCTTAATTCCATCTTTAGAGTATTATACATCTGAAAGAATATGGCATGTTCTGTTATTTTTTAAACGTCCACATAATCTATAATCACCTTTAAGACAAGCAACAGTGTTGTAGGAGTATTTACTTTCTCTGCATTCACAGTCGACAACTTCGAACCCCGTGTCGAGTAGAACTTTGCTAAATTCTTCACCAGGATCTGTTGATTGTTGATAAGGCGATATGAATCGATGGGCATCCTAATGTATAGGAAATATTAGGTTGTGATCAAATTTAACTGATTATGAATATACATTTCAAAAGTTTACATTTTACTGAGATAGTTTACCTTTCCTGTCTCATGACTCTTTTAAATTCAGTAAGCAAATTGAACACCTATCAATCCAATGAAATCTTTTTCCTTTGCATAATTTTGTCAGTTGAAAGGCAGGGAGGGACAGTGTAATCAAGAAAGATAAGGGAAGAATGGAAGGAAGATAAGATAGAAAAGACAAAGCCTGTTAGTCCATCTCTCTGCACTCCTCAGTAGTCTACATTTCCATTTTTCTTGTTTCCTTTAAAGAAAGTGCTAAGACTCTTATGGTAACAAAGTTTGAAATCTGCAGCAGAATTGTACAATACAGTGTATGGAAATTAGCTTTTAAACAAGATTCTTTAATATTATCCTCAACCTGATGTGGGAGATTTGTTCTTGAAGAAATGCAAATATACAAGTCTTATATATAATTTATCGCAAATGTAAAGTTCTTTTGAACAATTTAAAGCCCTAGAAATAAATACAGCCTCACCAGGCTTATTCACATTCCAACTGACATGTTTCTCTTAGATTCTTCTTTTCATATACATTAATTGCACAGGTAAAGACAACGTATCATTCTTTCCTTCTTAATGCTTCTTCATATGCATGCTTTACATAAGCCATTAACCATTTCTAGCACACATTCTGGTTACTACCTAGATAACGCAGAAAAACTAAAAATGTGAAGTATTGCTGGAGCTGACTACTTTGTAAAATTAGGCAAATTTCAGCAAATAGAAGAATGATAGTCTAAACAAAAAATGTAACTCTGTTATTATTATTACTATTATTATTTAGGTGTACATAAAATTTTCTTATAAAAAGGAAACTATTGCACACACTCACTGTTATAGTATAAAGTAAGCTCAACTTCATTACAGGCCAGTGTAAAGGAAATAAGAGAGAAACAGAACAGAATATTTGATTTAGCAAGGGTGGCGCCTTGGGAAGCCAAAGCCCATGTATACCTATGTAATTTCTAATAAAGGTGATGGACCATGGAATTTCAGATAATTTTCTTTAAATCTGAAACACTGATAGAGTTACTGTACTTCACACAGGTTACCATTTAAATACAAATTAACCTTAACACTCATATATTAAGGGCGCTATTCATGATGGTTGACACACACATGAAGCTTTCCTCAAGAATGATCCGAAATATTTCATTCACATTTGACCCATTTATAATGCTTATTGGCCAAAATCCAATTGCATAGACCATCAGTCATGAAAACAAGTTAGGCCCTATATGATATACAGAAGTTTTTTTTTCTTATTTTACAACATCATAGGGAAGTTTGTGCAATGTATTTTGTACTGTTTGTTTGTCTGCACAACAAAATAGTGATCGACCCGCTGGCTTTCATTTATCAGTTTCATTATACATTTTTATTTGAAGAATAGTGCTATATAAACCTATTTTGGTGCCTGAATATTAAAATATTTGTTCTTTACTTGCTGCTAAGAGAATTCACATGTATTCTAATGAAAATAATATTCTCCGAGAATGGAAACCAGTTAAACTAAGCTATTTCAGGTATTAGAGTTGTTTAAAAGTGTGAGACAGTTTATTCAAAGTCGAGTTGGTACATGGTTATTGGCCGAAAGGTCGCGGTTTGAGTCTTGATGAGGTGGATTTCTTCAATTTACCTAATTCTTCCTGCCGCACTATGACCCTGGGGTCGACCTAACCTCTTAACAGAAATCAGTACCAGAATCTGCTTGGAGGGTAAAGGTCAGCCGGTGAGCAAGGCGGACTTTACCGCCATCTGTGAACCGATTGTCAAGAGAATATGTGGGAGCCTCGATGTCTCACAAACCTATGGGCCTTCACGGCCTGTTACAGGCATCATTATCTTTCTTTCTTTTAAGCGAACAGAGTTTGATTACTTGTATTGATAACATTAATAGACAGAGATCTTGAATAAGAAGGTATTTCTACAGGTACTCGTGCGCCTTTATAGCATAGAGCGTAAGCGTATTCTTTGCTTAGAAGCTTATTAGGCCTATATACCGACCACTTTTGATAATTAGGATTGCAACACTGCAAAATCCGAAAGAAAAAAAATATTTTAGGTAAAAGCTATACAATTTAAAGAGATACTACTAACCCTTCTTTCTCAGAATTAATGTAGACTGCCATTATAGCTAAGTTAACATATTGAGTCATAGCTTACGACTTGCCATGATGCATTTCTGATGATTTAACTAAGCTTATACGGAGAGTAACGCTAGGACACAGATGGCAGTCAATGTCTTCTCGGCTGTTCCTGCCATCTATAGGACATAAACTGTACTATTTCCTCTTGACGGTATGTGATACTGTGTTAAACGAAACGCTAAGAACAATGTTTTTGCATACATGAAATACNAGATGGCAGTCAATGTCTTCTCGGCTGTTCCTGCCATCTATAGGACGTAAACTGTACTATTTCCTCTTGACGGTATGTGATACTGTGTTAAGACGAAACGCTAAGAGAACAATCAATGTTTTTGCATACATGAAATAGGAGTATAATATGTCTCATGTTTAATACCTTCGTTAAAATGTAGTTTGACGTTATGGAGTGTACTGTAATGTTGAGTAGATCTGTCAGTGGTAGATTTATATNGGGGGGGGGGTGAAAGGTGGGTGACAGTTGACTGGAATGATGAATGCACTGTGTGTATCACGAGGCTCCACATGTATTCGCTCAGGATTGAACCCAAGCCTCCACTGTTAGAAGCCAGCGCCTAAAGGCCTGAGGTTTGGCACAGCCAAGGCCTGTTAGCTACTTCAAAATCATCCCGTCCCGTTTCGGTATATGCTTCGTGTGAATGTGTGTATGATTAACTGCATAAATGCAACAAAGTTACTATAAGGTTCTCACCGTCATGTAGATCCGCCACTCTGGTTTCTGGCAAAGGGCGCTGTATACTTCGAATATTGGACATTTTGCCAAGAACACAAGAAGTATTTCTCCTCCAGTTCGCAGTAAACGGTATATGTTACTCACAGCTTTCCTGGTAAGACAAAGAGCAGGCTGCAGTACTTCAATATCATAAAAGGTGAAAGATAAAGTTAATGAATTAAGCGCTACGCCATGAAGGCGTATGGGGGAGTTGATGTATAGATCCGCATTTTATTGACCTCGACATTAGCTAGAAGTGAGCGGTCAGTTTCACGCCTCGGCCGCTTTGTCCCCGGCGAAAGATACCACGGTACCCGTCGGATAGAAGGATGGGTGGGCCCCAGAGCCGGTCTGGAGGACGTGGAGAAAAGAAAATTCTTGAACTTACCGGGACTCGTACTACGACCTCTCCGTCCTTCATCCCTTAACCTGTCGCTATACCGACTGTGATATTTCGATACCATTAACTTCTAAACGCTTATGATGCTTAGGCTGTTATCAGTTTTAAACAAAATAAACTATCTCTGAAAATGAATTAGCATATTTCGTTACGATTAGTGTAACGTGTTTGCGTTACTGATCCCACTTCTGACACCAGTTGTCGCGTATCGCGGGGTATATCGCGACAAATAAATTCTCGATGTATTCGATGTAGCGAATTTTATTTCACATTCGCACTTACAATCATCCAAATTACAGATTTACGATTACTGCTATCTGCAGTATCACAATTAGTACACTCCAAATGCCAGAATACAACTGACTGGCTGACTCTACGTCTCGACTCGGCGGCTGTCACAGTACAACTCTGGACGCCACATTAGAACTGACTGTGAATAGCCTTCGCTGCTCCGTATGTAGCCTCGATCGGACAATACGGGAAAACGGCCACGTAATAGGCACCCTTTTTGCTATGTCGCTGTGTTGCTATGTAACGCTAGCGGAGGTAACCGCTGTTACTATCGTAACGTCGCCGCTGTTGACTCGCGTTGCCTAGCGACCGCGATATCCCTCGGTGACGTCACCGCGGAGGGGAGTGGCGGGGCGGGAACTCGCCTATTACCGTAAGAACGCGAGCGTTACGTTACCGCCACGTACCGCTGGGGAGGTAGGGGTCAACATGTCACATTAGTACTACCACTGGATGTTTCCCCTCACAGATATACGGTAGCATGTCAACAACGCTGTCCTCACACCAACATATTTAGTAAGGCAGCCATGTGTTGTACATTTGCTTAAACTTTGCAAGATTCACATTTTTCACAAAGGGATCTCCATATAAAATTTTAAGGCCATATATTTGATGCTAACCTTTCTCAAGTTTGCACACTAACAATGACATTAAATACATAACGGCGAACATTTCTTGATATCTATTTTTTTCCGAATGAGTCTGCGCAAGCAGAAACGCTTGTGGTTTTATTATGGAGGTTTTCTATTCGAATCCCGGCTAGGATACTAGATATACTGACTGGAGTTTTATCAGTCCTTCCATACATATCCCAGGATAACACCTTACTTTAGGCCACGGCCAACTGCTACATTAATTATTGTCCCACCATTCGACACTCTGTAATCTGGGTTATTGATAGGATCTTGTAATCTTGGACCCGAGTTTGTATGTTTCCTTCTCATGAACCTGACTGAAGAATATAAAGGTACTCAGACAATGGCTGTTTCCTATGAGTAACTGAAAATTGCTTATACGCATTCTGGCACAGTACAACCTATCGAGAGACTATTAAGGCCGCGCCATAGCTCAGGCGGTTAGTCGCTGGCTTCCCACCGCGGCGTCAGGGAACGATCTCGGGTCTGGTCAAGTGGGATTTGTGGTGGACAAAGTGGCGCTGGGGCGGGTTTTCTCCGAATACTTCGGTTTCCCCTGCCAGTCTTCATTCCACCAAACTCTCCATCGTCATAATCACCCGGGGGAGGTACAATACGCCAATCAGTGGCCGCCGAGCCGAGTGGACCCAGTTGGAGTCCCCCCACCCCCCACCCCCCACACTGAGGGAATCGAGAGATTATTCTGATTCAGAGGTTGTCAAAGTTTGTGACACTACGAACCCCTGAAACAATGAATACATTTACTGGACACCTCAGTCCCTAAGGATCAGGAAAAAGGACAGTTCTCTAAACAGCTCCCTGTACGACTGCATGGTGGCAGTAAAGGAAAAGTATCTCTGCAAAAGGCCGTGGAGGCCCATAGTGTTGTGAGATGTTGAGGTTCCCACATTTTCTAGACAATCGGTTCATAGGTGGCGGCAAGGTTGTCAGCCCTACTCGCCGGACGCCCTTTACCCCAAAGAATGTTCCAAGAATATTCCTGGTACTCATTTCTGTTAGAGGTTGAGTCGACCCCAGGACCATAGTGCGGCTGGAAGGATTAGGTCAATTGAAAAACTTCAGTGACCTCATCAGGAATTTAACCCGCTACCTTCCGGATTGTAGCATAGTGCCTCAAGCAACTACGCTACCGTCCCATTAGCTCAATTGGTTAGAGCGTCGTGCATGGCGACAGAAGGAACGTAAAAACTGTAAAACTTTTCTGCACCTACAGTAACATGAAACATATTCTTGTACAGCCACGAAGAAATTCGGAAAATGTTTCGCCGGTTACAGCCACATTTTAGAAAAGCAAATACTGAAATCTTATTAATTTACTAACTTGCATAAAATCGTGCTTGGATAAAACTGTGCTTTAAATTACTATTGAGGACTCGGCGACAAACTTCGGAGGTCATGCCTACAGTTGAGAAAACATGCTCTTATGACGTTGCAGAATTATCTTGAATGCTGAGGAGTTACCTGTCCTCTACATATTGTGTATTATAATGGGCTGTTAAATATGTACATAATTATTCTAATGATGCTCTGTTCTATGAAGTTGTGAACGGGTTTACTTTAGGAATTATAAATAAAAATCTGTTTGCCTAAATCATTTAATCTTAGTATTACGGAATTAGCTTAGCTCCCCATAAGAAGCATGCTGTCCCGGCCCATAAGGAAATGAGTTTATGGGGAAAAGATCGTGATTATGATAGTGCAGACTTCAGGATTGTAACACCATATGATTCAGAGATATCCAGACGTTTCGGAGCTACATATCGCCTCCATCTCCAGGCTAAAGACTGAGTCAAGCAAGAAACCAGTAAAAGCAGACGGCAGGATGAGATCAGTTCGCTGCTCTTTCTGACTTACACGTCGTCACAACCCAAAAGTTCGTACATCTCACATTCACAACCATCACAACCTCAATTTAAAAATCGTGGTTATTCTGCCAAGTCGTACCTTTGATCTGGAATCCAATGAAGACAGTAGAAGGAGAATATCTTGTCGAAGCCCAGTGCAGAAATTTCTGAGGTACCTCGTATGTCCTTGCTGAGGTCGAATTGTGCAAACCTCAGTTTCGGATGTGTATACCTGTTGGTAGCGTGCTGAACCATAACAGGCGACACGTCTGCTCCTACCAGTATTCCGAAATTTGCTGGCAAGCGAGGCATTAACTCTTGCGAGGTCACAGTTCCTGGACCGCAACCCAAGTCCAGTACTCGGTCCCCGGGTTTCCAGCTCATGGAGTTTAAATACTCAGTTAAGACCTGGACAGCGTCTCTCTTCTGAAGTTCATGAGATGCTGTGTACAGTTCAGCGTCATGCATTTCCTGAAACGGGACATGTTTTAGGCAATGATTCCCACAGAAGCATCTTCCAGCCCTTGAATTATCAACGGTACATTCGGGCTCTGCCAACAGGATATTCTGTTTCTACTGCCTGCTCTGGACTCCTCTTCAGAGGTATGACTATGACAGAACAAGCATGGTTTTGCTATCGAAGAGTACTAACCCCAGCGGCGTGATAGCACACGCACATGGTGGACACTAAGTTACTCTCGCAATGCTAAGGGCAATTGTGTTAAACACGCAGAAAATTCTTGATTTTTAAAATAACATAATTAACAGCTTTAAGAAATAGTCTTCTTAACTATAAAAATAATTACGTATAAGACTATAACAGTAATATATATACCGTATTCACGTAGCATAAAATTTTCTGAATAGTACAATTAAAGCTGCCGAGGCTTGAAGCTAACCAGTCACCTCCATACAGTACCTATGTCAAGAATGATGGAGCTATACCTCCACTACCCCATATGTCTTTATGGCATAGTGCTCAACTAATTAAGTACAGGGACAAATTTACTTTATTTTACTTACAGATAATTCCGCAGCAATCATTACATTTCCGCAATGCGTTGCCTTGCGTATGAGCAATTTTTAGCTACTCAGATAATAATTATTTCACGCTCACTCTTCGTAAAAGTTAAGTCACCATTTTACTATACTCTGTGAACTTGTTTTTCAAATGGATCGACATTTAATGAGGTAGGACTTCGATAAAAAGCTTCATATTTAATACACGCCTGTTGGCCGCACTATAGCTCAAGCGGTTAGTCGCTGGCTTCCCACCGCGGCGGATTCGATCCTGGGTCTGGTCAAGTGGGATTTGTGGTGGACAAAGTGGCGCTGGGGCGGGTTTTCTCCGAGTACTTTGGTTTCCCTTCCCAATCTTCATTCCACCCAATTCTCCATCATCCTAATCACCCGGGCCAACTACAATAGGCCATTCAGTGGCCGCCGTGCCGAGTGGACCCAGTTGGACTCCCCCCCCCCAAGCGAATTAAGAATTAATACACGCTCTACAGTCTGGTAATAACCAATATGTAGAGGTTCAAAGGAACGATTTATTATTGTATATGTTATACCAGTATTAACTGTGTCGACGGTTATTTCGCTATGAAGTTACTACCAATATACGACAGGTTACAAGAATTAAAATTCATAATTGACATACAAGGCTATTCCGCTTGGAATTTTTGTCGGACAGAACAATAGTGCGGCAGGTTCCCTTTCTCGAGCACTGCCAGTTATCATTCTCCCAAAGTTACTTCTCATATACCTTTAGGGGCTAGATCATCAGAGTCCGCAGCACCAAGGAATTCAATCGCAACCAACCTCTACTAATGACAGGTTACTACGCCTAATATATTAATCAGTCATATTTTGTCACAGTTCGGTCCGAGGGACTGAGTAATTTACCACTGAGAACATTAGTCGTGAGAGTCGTGAGTTGCAAGCAAGCAGTGGCAGTTCCTGCTTGGCTTTAAGGGATCTTCATTGTTAGTAGCCGCTACCTAGCAACTCGTATGTGTGCCGTAGCTGTAGCGATTTATAGAGTGTAAATTAGTGAGACTGTTATAACAATTTGTAATTACGAGTTACAAGCGTCCAAAGGAATCCATATATCAATCCGAACTCCGTGTCTTGTCGCTAACATGTGACAGTACTTCATTCGATAGAGAAATGCTCGAAATTTTATAGTAATATATGTTTTAATGTGCAGAGACAAGTGAGCTATACTTTAGTGTTGCCTCGAAGGACTCGTACCTGATAGAGGTTTCGGAACACTAATCTATATATGACTTAAACAGTTCGGACAGTTTCTCTCTAAGCAGCCATTTCCATCTTAATGTATTTGTCTGATACAGGTTTTCTATTTTGTTATTAAATCTCATATAGCCTAACTTATCTAAGTGACAGAAGAAATGTGGTAACTAATTTTGTTTCCACATTACATACAATGAAATATAATAAAATAAAATAAATAATTTTGAGAAATTCTCGCAAATATGTGTAATATAATGTACAAATATTACTATTGCAGTTAAAATCAAATTTGTAATACTGTAGAAAGGCGTAAACATTCAGAGAACGGACACTGAAAGACTGAAGCAACACAAATAAATGTTTCAAAATGTAAGACTATGAAACAAAAAAATATATATATATAAGAAATAATTTATTTTTAAACTATCTCTGAAATTTAAAAATTCTTAAGTTAATGAATGGAAGACATGTTCATATACTGAACTGAAACACATAAAATACATAGCAGATCCTGAAACACAAGGCACCAACAGGGAGAGATCCCGGGCATATAAAGAACAGGAGGACAGGATGTGCATTTAGGTTTCTGAGAAAAGAATGTTGGGGGGTATATTTATAGGAGTGTGTGACTGGAAAACACTGCATAATAAGAAGCTTCATAATTTTTACTCTCCATCAGAAATTATTTCGATGATCGAATTAAAGAGTTTAAAATCGGTGGTTATAACACACGGTGCATCTGAGAGAAGAGAAATGCATACATAATTTTAGTCGGAATGCCTCAGGGATGAGACCAGTAAGTGTAGGTAGGAATGTGAATACGGAAACGAAGCTTTCAGTTCCATAAAAGATGGAACATTTATCAACTAGCTGAACAACTATTAGCTTCTCAAGAATGACTTTGTTGCATGAAGTCGGTCACTAATATTTAGAGTTATACTGCATCGATATGAAGCAAAATTAATTGTACCCTACAATATAAACAGCTTATACTAAATTACATCGAAATCCGTCAGATGGTTTCAGAGACAAAACGTGCGGACGGTTGGACAGACAAAAGCTCAAAACTCTTTCATTTTTATTCTTTGTGGAAAATTTTTAATATCAGTACACAACAATAGACCTTTAATTTTTTATGAAATTTATTCTTAAGACAGTACTTTTTAGACTGAGCCTAGGATTTTTAAAATTCACATTTTAACTTATATGACTATACACTGTTGAATGAGAGAGCCGGGATAGCGCATTCGGTATAGCGACTGGCGACGATTTGGACTGCCGAGGGGTCGGAAGTTGAGTCCCAGCATGAGCAAGATTTTTCCGTTTTCCAAGTTATCCAGACCGGTACTTGGGCCCACCCAGCCTTCTATTCAATGTGTACGGGGATCTCCCTGGGGATAAAACGACGGAGTCCTGCACCTGACGACTCACCTCCGACTGGTGCTGAGTTTATGAATATGTAGATCTACAAATCCATTCCCCATACGTCTTCCTGGTGTAGTGCTTATTTAGTTAAGCACAGGGACACCTTTACCTTTTTTATGCTGTTTAATGGTATGATAAAAAAAGGACATTAGCAATGGTTTTCATGGATATTTTCGTGATCTATTAAAGGAATCCACCAATGGAAACAGAAGAAAACTAAGAATGGCTTCAGGCAGGATAGCAGATAACCAAAGTGGCAAAGGCCGCGCCATAGCTCAAGAGGTTAGTCGCTGGCTTCCCACCGCGGCGGCCCGGGTTCGATCCTGGGGTCTGGTCAAGTGGGATTTGTGGTGGACAAAGTGGCGCTGGGGCGGGTTTTCTCCGAGTACTTCGGTTTCCCCTGCCAATCTTCATTGCACCAAATATTCCATCATCATAATCATCCGGGACAGGCTACAGTAGGCCAATCAGTGGCCACCGTTCCGACTGGACCCCGTTGGACTCCACCCCCCACTAAGCGAATTAAAAAAAAAAGAAGGGGCTGACTGGGCAGTACCCGGATACTACTTGAATTTTCTCTGTTAATATTATTGTCTCACAGAACGAGATCTTGTCCCTCAGTAGTAACATTAATTTACATGGAACTATGGGCTATACACTAAATGACCCTAACCTGCATATCCCTCTTTTCGTCCTGAACAACTGAGTGCATGGAGCCGAGATACTCTTGCTCAGCCGCCAGAAACCTATACGCTTTCGTCTTATTTGCCATACGTGCTACATGCCTTGCCCATTTTATGGCTTGATCATTTTAATTATATTTGGTGAAGAGACAATATGTGAAGCTCTCCCCATTATGCAAAGTTCTCTAGCTTCCCATTATTTCATCCCTCTTGGATACACACACTCATCACAAACACCCTCAGACTATGTTAATATATTTCGCCCTACAACCCTTCATAATAATCCTTACCTCTATGACGGTCTGACACTTGTTGGGAGCTCTGTCTTCTTCTGCCTCGAAGGTGAGAATGAGTGCCAGGCGTTGCTTATTCCCGCCTCTATTTATATTCTTTAAACACCAAAACCGGAAAGTATTCACTGGATTCATTTTTTTTAATCTCATCGTATGTTATAAGTATAGTTACACTGACCCCCCCCACTTCCACACTTTTTGTCTTTCAAGTACATATGTCTTCTTTTGTTTCATTTTGGAAGCCCGATAACCTTTCGAACGCCTTCGTGTTATTTTCTGTTATTTAGACAATACGTGTAGTTTACAGGGTGTCCCCGAATGCCATGCCCTCATTGGCTGCTGTCAGGAAAACAATGACATTGAATTCCTGCATAATGTTGTCCCTTGTAGGTAGAGATCTTCCGGCGATCCGATTGCCCATCTTAGACATCATAGTAATTGCCTGATAATTAATGGTTTCGTCATTGTGTCTGAAATGGAACAGGACACAAGGCTTAATTCAGAAAACATGAAATTATAACAAGGAGGCTACAACATTCCGATCGCGTGTAGTTCGGGCACCATGTCCGAAGACAGGAAGTGACGACCATTGAATTGAATATATATGTATGATATTTTATGGTGCCAAGCGATAAATACATCTTAGGCCTTGATATCGGAGGTATCAAAAGCTTAAAGGTCTAATACTTAATCCATTTCTTTTATACCTTTACGGTGTCGAGGTTTTTTTTTTTGACATTTTACAGATAGTAGAACTTCTTGGATGAGTGATCAACTCGTCGCAAGGTCTTTACCTAAACACAGGACAACACATACACATTCCAAATTTCCATGCCTTATATGGGATTCGAGCCCACGATCCCGGCTTCCGAGAGAGCGAAGACAGTGCATGCCTTAGACCGCTCGGCTACCGTGACCAGCAGGTCTAATACTTAGGAAACAAAAGCCTGAACTACAGCATTCATATGGCAGAGTTTTGATTTAGTTTATTCTTGTACTGAATTCAGATCTTTCCCGTAGACAGGAAAATTTCCCGATTCTTCTTTTCGTTTTCTTCGCTCTCTCTTGGGAAATGCTATGAAGTTTATTTCTTTATAGATCCATTGTAATTCATCATTCATAATCATTCCATCATTAAACAATAACCTATGCACTCGAGAAAGGGTCGTTAGGAAATCTGTAGTATTCTTATTTGTCTGCCACAGATGTGGGACTTCGCAGTCACACTCGTTTTCCATACACAGATGGAGCTGCCATCTTATGTCCATCTTCAAAATGGCAGGGCTGAATGAGTACTTACTTACTGCTTTAGAATCTCATATCAAGAAATGTATTACAATAAATCCTAAACAAAGAATTAAAATTGCGATTAAGAATACTTACCTTTGAGATCAAATATGTCAGTTCATTACTTAACCATTTTCATAAGCTTTTGCTAAACCCAAGCAAAACTACAAAACTCTTGTTACTCCCTCATTCTTGTATTCCAGTATTCGCCTAACTGTTTTATTTCCAAACGACTTTAGTCTGTGTTCTTATTTTAGACAATATACCTCATTTACCAGCATAAAACATGTGATATTTTGTATTTAATCGTTAGAGTGTTACATAGGACTCAATAAGATATAGCAGTTCTCTGGACTAAAATTAACTGTAGGAAGCATTCCATCAATGTAAACCATAATTTTAATTTATTAATATTATTCGCGACTGTTACAAATTTATCACATTTTGGAAGGATTATATTGTTATGATTTCTTCCTCATTTCTGGTGATGATACAAGGATGTTTTGCACAATTTTATCTTCATTTACTTCTACATCCATGTCCAAAATAATTTAATAGAAGAACTCCTGCACCTTATTACATTTGAGCTATATTTTCATCTAATAACTGACACAATGAGCATACATCATGAGCCGGTACGTTCCAAAGTTGGAGTATAGTTTCATGATTGCACTGAGGTCCCTGAATTTTGAGGTATCCTCTTGACATATTCTGGCAGGGTACGAACGAGCTATATTATTATTCTCTTTGTAAAGACATGTATATTTATTTGACCCCTTCCAGTGACCCTCCTCACTAGTAATGCGTAGATTAGGACTTTCTAAGACACTGTATTTTTAGTTGACCTCGGTTAGGAATATAGAAGAATCAAAGCTATGTGGCCGAGTGAGAAGTGTGTCTATATCTGCCCGCTGCATGCCCCCTGAAATGAGGCTAACATTCCTTCTGTCGAAGGGAAGCTTGTTCTAGGAAAACAGATGCATGGGTAGACCAATATTATCATATTATGTACAGCATAAAAACAACACGGAAGTAAGAATGTAGGTCCTAGGACAACATATAATAGATTTAACCGCTGGAATGTTGTCTTCATTATAATTTCTTGCTTTTATTAAACCCGAGATTTGTCTGTCTAAAGACTAAATTGCCCCAGACGACAGATAAAATAAGAATACGGATAATAAGACAATTTAAGTCCAGTCACGTCCAGAGCTTGTTTCATAATAAAAAACTTTCAGAGAAAGTTTTCTGTCTGCTTAATAAATAAACTCGTAGTGTTGTTACAATAGTCTGTCCATGTAAGTGCACTGATTTTCGAATTATTTAAATTACTACTGAATCGGCCGTCTAACGCTGATTAGGTTACTTCAGCGGTAACGCGTCTTGTCTGTAAACGATAGATAAAAAAAAAAACATTTTATCTGTGCTTAATTAAGTGCCACGCCATGAAGAAGAGTAAAGGAGTAGAGATATATCTTAAAACTTCGGCAGAAGATGCAACTAAGTGGTCAGACTCGCGCTTCGGCCGCTTATCCCCGGAAATAAAGCTCGACAGTCGATAGATGGAGGAAGAAATATAGAATCGAAAAAATCAGCCTTCATCTTTTCATCTTTTTTTTCTTATACCCTGAAGATGGAGGCGATATGTTTCTCCGAAATGTCGGTTAACACAATATCTACACGGCGCTACATCCCAGAGGACTGATTTCTTCATAGTCACCGCCGTGAAAACCTCAAATCTTACAAAAATAGAATTGTTCCTGTACTATAAGCAATATGTCCTGAAGAAGTGAGGGTTAGGAGACTTGTAGTTTTACTCATTTTTAACTCCGGGGCGAGCTGTAGGTGAGTTGCCGGGTTCATAGTTCGGCCGCTGGACCCCCGGGGAGAGAGACTTCGGTAACCATTTGATAGAGGTCAGAAAGAGTAAAATCCCTTGGCTAAATAACGCATAAGGTAATGAAGACTTGGGAGGGGGGTTAGAGATGTAACTCCCCTCATTCTTAACTTCGGGACTGGTTGTAGGTGAACGGTTAGGTTCACGATTCGGCCGCTTTACTCCAGGTGAAAGCGTCTCCGGTACAAGTCGTATAGAAGGTTGGGTGGGTCCTATTGATGGTCCAGTACTCCGTTAAAATATCATATGTACTATTGTACTATAGTTTTATTTCCGTGTGTAAAAAGCGATAGTCCAATAAAAGTCTTCGCCAAATCCGAAACCCGCGTGAATTTCTTGTCGTGTTGCCTATCAAACACGTAACAATATGTTGTGTGTTTGCTAGGCAACGCAACAAGAAATTGCGAGTGTTCCCGGATTTGAACGAATATTTATTTGGCGGTTACATTTACACTCCCAAGTACAGTTATTCACAACTTTACTACCACAGTTACTTGCACCGCTGATCTTGGTGAAGTCTTCTCAGTATNCGACAATCTCGCACCACCATTCTCGGTGAAGTCTTCTCTGTATCTCTGTGTAATCTCTTCTCTCTGATCTCTTTGTGTCATTTTGTATCTTGGCTTGTTGTAATCTGATCTCAATTCCGACCTGGTCTTCCCTTACACCCTACTGTTGTACGGGCTAGAAGACACCTTGTTCAAGGGTTCCATTTCATGTGTTCTATCCGCCAGTAGCCAGTGTTTTGTTTCGTTGTAGCGGTAACTTCACTAGTTAGGTAGCGTATTCTCTCCTTGCTACTAGTTTTCCTAGTCGTTGTCATTCAACTGCCTCTAACAATTCGTTGCTTAGCTTTGCTAGCGTTCGGATTCCAAGGCGTTGCAGCGGGAACGCTGGTCGTTGCCTAGGAAATCAACTCTGATCTCAACCATTCCGGCTTTCTGGCGCCATGCCACAATATTTAGATCAGAGACGAAATGAAGAGGACAGAGGAATATTTTAAATGCTTACCACCCGTAAGAGAATTGAGTTTATATAACAGGCCGGGGACATCACGTCACATTTGTCTGTTGTCTTATTGTAGTACCACTGCCACCGGCTGAAAATAAGCAGTCTTCTTGTACCGGTTCTCATGGTCTCTTCGCTTGCGGACTTTCTTATTTTTCCTTCTACCCTAAAGATGGAGGCGATACGTTCCTCCGAAACGTCGGTTAACACCACATCTATACGGTGCCACATCCCAGAGGACTGCTTTCTTCATATTCACGGCCGTGAAAACCTCAAATCTTACACAATTTACAACTAAATTTTCAAATTCACCACGTGAAATTACTTTTCGGCAGTAATAAGCTCTGCATTTGGCGCAGCGTCGTTAAAATGTACGAAGAGTGTATTGTATTGTTATGCAGAATGACGCCTAAAATGATTAATTCTGTCCTGGCTTCTGGTTGCGTGTGCCTATATTAAGCTTCAAGCATATTTTGATTTCAAATATTCAGAGTACATGTTGATCCAAAACAGGAGAGTGGAATGGAGTAACCCAGAGTAAAATGTTTTCTATATGATTTTAAATATTTTTTTTTTGTAAATATCGTAAGGACATTCTTCAGTTTAGAACACCAATGTGGCAGAAAATATATGCCATATTAATTTACTACACTGCAAAATGTCCTTACGATATCGGTATAGTTTGCTTGCGGACTAAAGGACACGGAGTTTGTTTTTTAGAACATTAATGTCGAAATTAATTGAAATCGGTTACATAGTTTCGGAGATGAAATTTTCTAACTATCCTCATTATGCATTCATTTGACATGTATTTAGTTCAATGAATACGAAAAACGCAAAAATACAGCAGCATAATCTTACGAGGCTGTGTATAGGAGTTGGTGA